CTTCCCTAATATGGGAAAGGAAATAGTTAATCAACTCCAGGAAGCAGACAGAGTCCCATACAGGATAAATCCAAGGATAAACACGCCAAGACACATGTTAATCAAACTTTCAAATATTAAATACAAAGAAAACATATTAAAAGCAGCAAGGGAAAAGCAACAAATAACACACAAGGGAATCCCCATAAGGTTAACAGCTGATCTTTCAGCAGAAAGTCTGCAAGCCAGAAGGGACTGGCAGGACATATTTAAAGTGATGAAAGAGAAAACCTACAAACAAGATTACTCTACCCAGCAAGGATCTCATTCAGATTTGATGGAGAAATTAAAACCTTTACAGACAAGCAAAAGCTGAGAGAGTTCAGCACCACCAAACCAGCTTTACAACAAATGCTAAAGGAACTTCACTAGGCAAGAAACACAACAGAAGGAAAAGACCTACAATAACGAACCCAAAACAATTAAGAAAATAAGAATAGGAACATACATATCAATAATTACCTTAAATGTAAATGGATTAAATGCTCCCACCAAAAGTCACAGATTAGCTGAATGGATACAAAAACGAGACCTATATATATGCTGTCTACCAGAGCCCCACTTCAGACCTAGAGACACACACAGACTGAAAGTAAGGGGATGGAAAAATATTCCATGCAAATGGAAACCAAAAGAAAGCTGGAGTAGCAATTCTCATATCAGACAAAATAGACTTTAAAATAAAGACTATTACAAGAGACAAAGAAGGACATTACATAACGATCAAGGGATCTATCCAAGAAGAAGATATAACAATTGTAAATATTTATGCACCCAACATAGGAGCACCTCAATACATAAGGCAAATACTAACAGCCATAAAAGTGGAAATCGACAGTAACACATTCATAGTAGGGGACTTTCACACCCCACTTACACCAATGGACAGATCATCCAAAATGAAAATAAATAAGGAAACACTTGCTTTAAGTGACACATTAAACAAGGTGGACTTAATTGATATTTATAGGACATTCCATCCAAAAACAATAGAATACACATTTTTCTCAAGTGCTCATGGAACATTCTCCAGGATAGATCATATCTTGGGTCACAAATCAAGCCTTGGTTAATTTAAGAAAATTGAAATTGTATCAAGTATCTTTTCCGAGCACAACGCTATGAGACTAGATATCAATTAGAGGAAAAGATCTGTAAAAAATACAAACACATGGAGGCTAAACAATACACTACTTAATAACGAAGTGATCACTGAAGAAATCAAAGAGGAAATCAAAAAATACCTAGAAACAAATGACAGTGGAGACACAACGACCCAAAACCTATGGGATGGAGCAAAAGCAGTTCTAAGAGGGAAGTTTATAGCAATACAAGCCCACCTTAAGAAACAGGAAACATCTTGAATAAACAACCCAACCTTGCACCTAAAGCAATTAGAGAAAGAAGAACAAAAAAACTCCAAAGTTAGCAGAAGGAAAGAAATCATAAAGATCAGATCAGAAATAAATGAAAAAGAAATGAAGCAAACAATAGTAAAGATCAATAAAACAAAGCTAGTTCTTTGAGAAGACAAAAAATATTGATAAACCATTACCCAGACTCATCAGGAGATAAAGGGAGAAGACTCAAATCAATAGAATTAGAAATGAAAAAGGAGAAGTAACAAATGACACTGCAGAAATACAGAGGATCATGAGAGATTACTACAAGCAATACTATGCCAATAAAATGGACAACCTTGAAAAAATGGACAAATTCTTAGAAATGCACAATCTGCCAAGACTGAATCAGGAAGAAATAGAAAATATGAAGAGACCAATCACAAGCACTGAAATTAAAACTGTGATAAAAAATCTTCCAACAAACCGAAGCCCAGGAACAGATGGCTTAACAGGCGAATTCTGTCAAACATTTAGAGAAGAGCTAACACCTATCTTTCTCAAACTCTTCCCAAATATAGCAGAGGGAGGAACACTCCCAAACTCATTCTGCGAGGCCACCATCACCTTGATACCAAAACCAGACAAAGAGGTCACAAAGAAAGAAAACTACAGGCCAATATCACTGATGAACCTAGATGCAAAAATCCTCAACAAAATACTAGCAAACAGAATCCAGCAGCACATTAAAAGGATCATACACCATGATCAAGTGGGGTTTATTCCAAGAATGCAAGGATTCTTCAATATACGCAAATCAATCAACATGATACACCATATTAACAAATTGAAGGAGAAAAACCATATGATCATCTCAATAGATGCAGAGAAAGCTTTTGACAAAATTCAACACCCATTTATGATAAAAACCCTGCAGAAAGTAGGCATAGAGGGAACTTTCCTCAGCATAATATAGGCCATATATGACAAACTCACAGCCAACATCGTACTCAGTGGTGAAAAACTGAAAGCATTTCCACTAAGATCAGGAACAAGACAAGGGTGCCCACTCTCACCACTCTTATTCAACATAGTTATGCAAGTTTTCGCCACAGCAATCAGAGAAGAAAAGGAAATAAAAGGAATCCAAATCGGAAAAGAAGAAGTAAAGCTGTCTCTGTTGGCACATGACATGATACTATACATAGATAATCCCAAATATGCTACCAGAAAACTACTAGAGTTAATCAATGAATTTGGTAAAGTAGCAGGATACAAAATTAATGCACAGAAATCTCTGGCATTCCTATACACTAATGTTGAAAAATCTGAAAGTGAAATCAAGAAAACACTCCCTTTTACCACTGCAACAAAAAGAATAAAATATCTAGGAATAAACCTACCCAAGGACACAAAAGACCTGTATGCAGAAAGTTATAAGACACTGATGAAAGAAATTAAATATGATACCAACAGATGTTGAGATACACCATGTGCTTGGATTGGAAGAATCAACATTGTGTAAACGATTATACTACCCAAAGCAATCTGCAGATTCAATGCAATCCCTATCAAACTACCACTGGCATTTTTCACAGAAGTAGAACAAAAAGTTTTGCAGTATGTATGGAAACACAAAAGTCCCTGAATAGCCAAAGCAATCTTGAGAACGACAAACGGAGCTGGAGGAATCAGGCTCCCTGACTTCAGACTATACTAGAAAGCTATAGTAATCAAGAAAGTATGGTACTGGTACAAAAAGAGAAAGATAGATCAATGGAACAGGGTAGAAAGCCTAGAGATAAACCCATGCACATATGGTAACCTTATCTTTGATAAAGGAGGCAAGAATGTACAGTGGAGAAAGGACAGCCTCTTCAATAAGTAGTGCTGGGAAAACTGGACAGGTACATGTAAAAGTATGAGATCAGATCACTTCCTAACACCATACACAAAAATAAGCTCAAAATGGATTAAAGACCTAAATATAAGGCCAGAAACCATCAAACTCTTAGAGGAAAACATAGGCAGAACACTCTATGACATAAATCACAGCAAGATCCTTTTTGACCCACCTCCTAGAGAAATGGAAATAAAAACAAAAATAAACAAATGGCACCTAATGAAACTTCAAGGCTTTTGCACAGCAAAGGAAACCATAAACAAGACCAAAACACAACCCTCAGAATGGGAGAAAATATTTGCAAATGAAGCAACTGACAAAGGATTAATTTCCAAAATTTACAAGTGGCTCATGCAGCTCAATAACAAAAAAAACAAACAACCCAATCCAAAAATGGGCAGAACACCTAAATAGGCATTTCTCCAAAGAAGATATACAGACTGCCAACAAACACATGAAAGAATGCTCAACATCATTAATCATTAGAGAAATGCAAATCAAAACTACAGTGAAATATCATCTCACACCAGGCAGAATGGCCATTATCAAAATATGTAGAAACTATAAATGCTGGAGAGGGTGTGGAGGAAAGGGAACACTCTTGCACTGCTGGTGGGAATGTGAATTGGTACAATCACTATGGTGAACAGTATGGAGGTTCCTTAAAAAACTACAAATAGAACTACCATACGACCCAGCAATCCCACTACTGGGCATATACCCTGAGAAAACCATAATTCAAAGAGTCATGTACCCAAATGTTCATTGCAGCTCTATTTTCAGTAGCCTGTAGATGGAAACAACCTAATTGTCTATCATTGTGTGAATGGGTAAAGAAGAGTGTCACATATATACAATGGAATATTACTCAGCCATAAAAAGAAACAAAATTGATCTATTTGTAATGAGGTGGATGGACCTAGAATCTGTGATACAGAGTGAAGTAAGTCAGGAAGAGAAAGACAAATACCGTATGCTAACACATATATATGGAATTCAAGAAAAAAAATGTCATGAAGAACCTAGGGGTAAGACAGGAATAAAGACACAGACCTACTAGAGAATGGACTTGAGGATATGGGGAGGGGGAAGTGTAAGCAGTGACAAAGCGAGAGAGTGTCATGGACATATATATACTACCAAACGTAAAATAGATAGCTAGTGGGAAGCAGCCGCATAGCACAGGGAGATTAGCTTGGTGCTTTGTGATGACCTAGAGGGGTGGGATAGGGAGGGTGGGAGGGAGGGAGCTGCAAGAGGGAACAGATATGGGAACATATGTATATGTATAACTGATTTACTTTGTTATAAAGCAGAAACTAACACACTATTGTAAAGCAATTATACTCCAATAAAGATGTAAAAAAAATTGATATCACTATGTTATTTAAATGGACAGTTTTTTAGGTACTTTAAGTTTGTTTTTTATTTTTTATTTATTTTTTTTTGTGATACGCAGGCCTCTCACTATTGTGGCCTCTCCCTTTGCGGAGCACAGGCTGCGGATGCACAGGCTCAGCAGCCATGGCTCACGGGCGTAGCCGCTCTGCGGCATGTGGGATCTTCCCGGACCAGGGTACGAACCTGTGTCCCCTGCATCGGCACGCGGACTCTCACCCACTGCGCCACCAGGGAAGCCCCAGTTTGTTTTTTATAATTGAGGTTATTATTTTTTGTTATTATCATATTGTATGTTTTATATATTTTTTTTACCTTAGGCAAGTATAAAATGCAAATCTCCGTGTTATAAATGGAAAGAAATCATTGTGAATGTTAAAAATCCCTTCCACGCTGCTGGGAACTTCAGGTATGTTATTGTTTTGACATAAATTCATTGCAATTAGCCATATTGAATCTTAAGAGAAGTATGTATTTTTCTTCAACATGAACTGTTTTGAGGAGAAATTTTATATATTTACATTGCTATAAATTTCTAAGCATCAGCAGGTAAAATAGAACAAATAATGAAGGTAAATCAGTTTTCCTTGAAATGCTATTTGATCTCTACAAAGCTAAGGCTGATCATATCAAATTTATGAATTTTGTCTCTAAGCTTTCTGTTTATTGAGATTTACAGTTCTTTCATTTTTTAAAACTTATAATTAATATACTTTTTAACTTCTAATTTTATCCTATCTGTTAATTTCCAAAAGTGAAATGTTGATTCAAGCGGAAAATTTATTTTTACCTAAAGCATCATGATTAATTCAAACTGCACATTAAACGTGCATTTGTGCATCTTGAGATTTAGCAACAACAATAACAACAGCATATATTTGAAATTAAAAGACAATAAATTGCTTAAGTATTATTTAAGGTCACAAGTAGAAAAATGTCTTTCTATAAATTTACATATAAATTTACCTTACGTATCGCTTAAATTATGAACTGTGTTTCCACCAGCTTTAAAAATCAGATCCTTACAGCAGTACTTGTGTCGAGACTAGAAGTTGTATGTATGCTTATTATTTTAGTAGTTGATAATTTCCAGTTTTTAAATCACTATATGTCTAGGCTTTTGGTAATTTCTTATTAACAATATCATTTATTTTTTACAAAACAAAAATTCTTTTTTTAAAACGGCTGGTGAATTTATGGTTCCCATGTTCAGTGAGGGAGAATTTTATTTACCCTAATTTTATTAAAGTGTTATATCAGAATGTAAGGAATAAAAAATACCAGAATATGTGGCATTAATCCAGTATTAAAATATGCCCTTAAGTAAACCAAATGACTGCAGTTCTTCAGAGGAAATCAGGATCAAACATGTTTAGACTTATTCTAGTGGTAGAACTGAAAGTAAATCTCAAAGTTCCTGGAATTGGTAGAATATTATAATTGTGTGTTTCTCAAAAAATTATAATATTTTATTGTTATTTTATGGTTTATCTCAGATTGAATTAAAATTGTTACTTCTTGTGAGGAATGCATGGTTTGGTAAAGGACAAGATTGTTAATTGGGGACTTTTGACTCCTTCCTCTCTTATTTGAATGTGGCCTTCAAACTTAGGGAATGGGAATATGAACTGAAAAATTTAAGGCCAATCATAAAATTTGTAAAATTAATATTTTACTGTAAACATATATTACTTTTAAAGGTAAAATATAATAAATGAGAATGAATAAGAAAGGAAATTTAAAGCCACATAATTCATATAGAGACTATTTTAATGTTATAAACAATATAACAATAAGTGACCTAGTTTTTCATATTACACTTACAAAAAATGATCAGGATTTGCTTATTATTAATAATCTCATATTAAATGTACTTTAAAGTAAAATTTTAAATTTCATATATTTTCCAAAAATTTATATGCAGCACAATGATCAGATTTGATTCTACTTTGTCAAAATTTAATATTCTTTTTAACAAATAAGGTGACCCAGTCTAGATTTAAAAAAAAAAAAAATTATTGAGCTGTGATTGATATACAATATTATATATTCTGGTATACAGTACAGTGATTCACAATTTTTAAAGGTAATGCTCCATTTATAGTTATTATAAAATATTGGTTCTATTCTCTTTGCTGTACAATATATCCTTGTAGCTTATTTATTTTATACATGGTAGTTTGCACTTCTTAATCTCCTATCCAGTCTAGATTTAACAGAAACAGGATTAGCTCCCACACCTCTGTGTACCAGATCAGTAGTTCTCAAATTCCTCTTTAGCAGGATGCAACTATTTCATGCTGTATAATTCTTTTTTTACGTGTTGTAAGGTTTGGTTTAGTAGTATTTTGTTGAAATTTTTGCATTTATAAAAAAAGGATTTACTAGTGTAATTTTCTTTTCTTGTGATGTCTTTATCTGCTTTTTATATCATCAATACTACCCTCAGAGAAAGATTTGGGAAATGGGCCTTTCCATTCTATTTTTGGGGAGAGTTTGTGAAGGACTGGTATTTCTTCTTCTAATGTTTGGTAGAATTGAAGCCATCTGGGTCTGAGCTTTGCTTTGTGGAAACTTTATTACTAATTTCATCTCTTGTTATGGCATACTCAGATTTTGCATTTCTTCTTGAATCAGTTTGGTAGTTTGTGCCATTGTAGGAATTTATACATTTCCTCTAAATTATCTAAGTTGTTGGCATGGAAGTTTTCACAGTATTCCCTTATAATCCTTTTTTCCCCCCTGCAAAGGCAGTAGTGATGGCCCTTCTTCCATCCCTTACTTTGATTTTTCTCTCCTTTATTCTTGGTCAATCTAGGTAAAGATTTGTTAATTTTATTGATCTTTTGAAAGACCCTTCTTCTAGTTTCCTTGATATTTTCTATTGTTTATCTTTTTTTAAAAAACATCTTATTTTGAGGTATATTTGGTATGCAAAAAAACCCTATACATTTAAAGTATACAATTTGATGAGCTTGGACATATGCATGTACCATGATACTATCACGACAATGAAGGCAATAAACATATCCATCACTTCCAAAAGTTTCCTTGTGTTCCTTTTCTCTTTTTTTTTTTCCTTTTTTGTGGTGAGAATTCTTAACATGAGAATTGCCCTCTTAACAAATGTTTTAGTGCACAATACCATATTGTTATTTATAGGCACTATGTTGCATAGAACATCTATAGTACTTATCCATCTTGCATAACTGAAACTTTATACAACAACTCCCATTTCATCCTCTTCCCAGCCTCCAGCAACCACCAGTCTACTCTCTGCTTTATGAGTTTGACTATTTTAGATACCTCATGTAAATAGTAACTTAATTCCACTGAGATTCACAAAGTGTTACTCTTATATAGCTCTATTCCCTTCCCCCTATTTTGTGTTTCTTTTGGTCATATGTATTATATCAATAATGTTACAATAATCAGTAATATTATATAATATTTATGAATATTTCTTTTTATTTATTTTGTATATTTTTTATGATTTTAAGAAAACTGAGAGAAAAAAGGACAGTATATCAATTTACTAGGGCTGCCAGCACAAAATACCGTAAGACTGGGTGGCTTAAACAACAGAAATTTATTTCTCACAGTTCTTGAGGCTAGAAGTCCAAGATCAAGGTGCTGGCAGATTAGGTTTCTTCTGAGGCCTCTCTCTTTGGCTCACAGATGGCCCCCTTCTTTCTGTGTCTTCACATGGTCTTTTCTCTCTGTGTGTGCATGCCTCATGTCTCTTTGTATGTCCATGTTTCCTCTTACAAGAACACCAATCAGGATGAATTAGGGCCCACCCTAATGGCCTCATTTTAACTTAATCACCTTTAAAGGCCCTGTGTCCAACTATAGTCACATTGTGAGGTACTAGGGGTTAAGGCTTCAACATACGAAGTTTGCGGGGGGTGCACAGTTCAGTTCATAACAGAAAGTACATATTTATAACCTTCATTATATTAGCCTTCTTATTTATCATTTTTGTTTTCTTTAATTGTTCTTATAGATTCATGCTACCTTCTGGAATGATTTCCATAGCCCAGTCCAAGTTTGCTCTCACCTACCTCACTCCTTCCTTCCTTCCCTCCTTTCCTCCCTCCTTTCTTTCCTTCCTCTCTTTCACAGAAAAACAAATGTATTATTTAATAAACTATTATAAGGTAAACACTCTTGTATTTGAGTCAGGAAATAGGACTTTGTCAACCGTCCCCAAATCTCTTCTTTGTTTCTTGAATAAACTGCTATCTTGACTTTCATGGTAATCAAGGAAGTGACACACACAAGTGTGAATTTCTGGGCACTGGAGTTTACTCTTGCTGATTAAAAAAAAATCATGTGCCTTTTAAATGATTTACAAGTTCCTCCTGCATTTCTTTCTTTTCCTTACAATCATCAGTTGAAGAACATGAGCTGATTGAGCTGCGGTTTCCCATGTCTGGATTTTGCTGATTTCATGTTTATGGTATAGGTTCACATGTTCTTTTCTCAGTTGTATATTTTTTAAATTCACAGCTGGATACAGAGGAGTGGATACAGAGGAACTCAGGTTCAGTTGCTTTGGCAAGATTAAAGGAAATGACATATTCTTTCTTTAGGAAGCATATAATATCTTGTCTCTTTTTGGAATGTTAGTAGCCATTGATACTCAGTGGGTACCTCCATTATTCGTGGGTGGTTATAAAATGGTGATATTCCATTTCTATCATTTATGAAATGTATTAGTTGGAATATTTTTACAAAGAGAACATCTTGTCATCTCTTTGGTTATCCAGTGGTACAGTTCATATAAGAAAAGTAAAATAAATGTTTAATTGTTTCCCTTTATTTTTCTTCTTTTTAACCTTTTGACCCCCTTCACCCATTTATCCCACGCACCCCATCCCCCAAGTCTGGCATCCACCAGTCTGTTCTCCATATCTATGAGCCCGTTTATTTCAAGATTCTACATATGAGAGAGATTATATTGTATTGTCATCTTCTGTCTGACTTATTTTATTTAATGACCTTGAGATCCATCATGGTTTTGCAAATGGCAATATTTCATTGTTTGTTATGGCTGAGTAATATTTCATTGTATATATACACCACAATTTCTTTATCCATTCATCTGTGAATGGACACTTAGGTTGTTTCCGTATCTTAACAACTGTAAATAATGCTGCAGTGAACATGGAGGTGCATGTATCTTTTAGAGTTAGTGTTTTTGTTTTCTTTAGATAAATACCTAGAAGTGGAATTGCTGGATCATATGCTAGTTCTGTTTTTAATTGTTTGAGGACCCTCCAAACTATTTTCCATAGTGGCTGCACCCATTTACATTCCCACCAACAGTGCAGAAAGGTTCCTTTTTCTCCACAACCTCACCAACACTTATTACTTCTTGTCTTTTTGATAATAGCCATTTTAACA